CGCACTTTGGCGCTTATATAATTGCAAAAATAAAGCAGCAACAAGCCTACATCATATGACGTGCGTATGTGCCTTGGCCCGGCCAATTATGCAAGCCAGCAAATGGGGAAAAGCGGCAAATAGAGTCGCCAAAGTAAAAAAAAAAGTGCAACAAACGTTGCTGTTATGTTTTATTTTGGCTTTCCTTATGCTTAGTGATTTTTTTTTTTTTTTTTTTTTTTTTGCTGAACCGTAGCATAAATAAACAACCGACATTAACATTTACGATGTCTACGTGGTCCAGCGACGCGCAACGTGACTCTCAGCTCAAATATATGTATATGTATATGCAGCATAAATTAAATTAAGCGACTGCACCGAAATTACAAGCCAACTTATCTTCAAGATATATCAAAAGATCTCCCCCGCCCCATCGGCCACAAAACGTGAGCGGGCACTTCCAATGAGCGCAGCTAACTTTCCGCATGGGTTTCTCATAGTGAACTGCTGTGGAGACTTTGCATATACAAGATTTATATATAGAGTTTTATATAAAGTCATATAAAATTTTTAATTTAATAGAATAGATTTATATATAAAGATATCTAAAAAATATATAATATCTAATTTAATTATAATATTTCACACCTTTGACAAGCGTGAGGTAAATTACTAATCGAAAGGCAAATAAATTATTCATTATTATCGTTAGCTGAAGCCACTCTTAATATATATTTATCGAAAGTGATATCAGTCTGGCTTAGCCTCAGCTTATATAGACATTCGCTCGTCAAAGTTCTCATTGTTAAAGCTTCAGCTCCAACTCTCTCCAGCCTTTCGGATTATAATATTTCAAAAAGTTTCTTCCACTGCCAATTGCTAACTTTGGCCCACTTTATTTATACGTTAACTGTACTATGCAGATTAAGGTCAAAATAATATGCATGTAAAATTAATGCCTCACAAGCTATAAAACAATTTGTATGCCAGTGCCATAGATCAACGGAAAAAGATTGCGAAAAATTTGTTAATCATGATTGTTCTGATTGGACTGAATCTGAATCTGATTTGATTGCGAAAAACTAGTCTCACACTGCGAAATCCATTTATTATATTACTTTCGATTTATGAGCAATTGATGATCGACAAACTCGTTTGCTTAAGGTTCACAAATGAATTGCATTTTTTTTTTTTTTTGTTTTTTTTTTTATTGGACGAGTATATGTCGATCTTCTTTGAAAGCAATATCTTAAAAAAAAAAAATCGTTTTCGTGTTGCTGTTCCAATTTATAGAGCCATAATTAATTTATTTTCAATATCAACTCAATTTATCAGTTGACTTGACAAATACAATAAAAAAATACAAATTATCCAGCGACGAATGCGACTGCCTCTAACTGCACACTCTCGCGAGCAGCAGGCCCCTCTCTCTCTCTCTCTCTCACTCTCTGTCTGTTGCTCTCTGGTAGCACAGTTTGGTGAGCAACTGTTATACGCGCAAACTGAAACTGATTTTCAAATGCCCAGAGACGTTTCAACGAAACTAGTTTTCCTTTTGTATGTTTGGTCATTAGAGACGTCAGCGGGGAGCCGAAGGCCGACAAATGCCGTCAGCTGTTTGGCTATAGACTTGGCCCAAACGCTTCGCTGCAGCTCGCTCGCTCAGTTAGTCTTAGCCGGCACGTCGCGTCGTGTGCACCTCGTCTAAAGTTGCTTTGTGAAACGGTTCGTTATTCCCTCTCGCGCAGTCCCCTGCCCTGACCCTCTCCTCACACCTACAAATTGTTATACAATATACACGTTTGCACAGCTGTTCAGTTTCTTGAGCGTTTGTTGCCTTCTTTGTTGTTGGCGTTGTTGTTGTTTGCTTGGATAGTGTTCGTATGCAAAACTCATCAAAATTAGCAACAATTTCTATTGCCATTTGTTTAATCTGTTGACGCCATGCAATTTGCTATAGAAAAGATCAGAAAAAAAGAACACTGAAACGATCAGCGCTTACGTAATGCATAGATAAACTATTTGCTGTTTGGTGTTGTTGGGCGAATTTTATATTTTTGCAAATTTTATTTTGCGAATTTTTTGCAAATGACTGCGTCGATTTTCTAGCAATTTTATTTGCTAAGTGGGGCAGAGCATTTAAATAAATCTTTTTTTTTTTTTTTTTTTTTTTTTTGTTGGGGGTGATAAATAAATTGCAAATTGCCGGCAACATCAGCCACGTTTGAGTTGCTTTCCAGAGCAGCGGTGGCAGCAACAGGTGCAAAGTGCACACAAAAGACTTAAGCAACAAACTTTCCCTACCCCCGTCTGCATGCCACAAAAGGCGTTCAACGTTTTGCCATAGTGTAATGCTAATAAAGCAATAAAAAAAATAAAGGAAAACAATCGTAAATAATCATAAAAAATAAAACAACAAACTTACATCATAAGCAGCTCGCAAGTTGCTGGCACACTTTTCGCAGCTGCAACAGCAACACCAGCAGCAACAACAACAACAACGAAGTTGAAGTAAAAAAAAGCGCACAGTCGCTGCATTTAATTAATCAAAAAGAGCTTTTGCTTTTATGAATGAGCCGAGTGAATCAGTGAATACCAGACTGAGTGAATGAGTGAGTGACTTATTGTGTAGCCCTGCCCTTGCATCAACTTTTGTCATCCTGCCTCAATGGCCTCTGCGGCTGCTGCTGCTGCTTCACTTGCTCCACAACATAAATTATGAGCGGCTCCTCCAGCTACGCTGCTGTATTCATAGTATATAAAAATATGACTTATTAATAAAAACAGACAACAGCAGCAACTTAGGGCCCGAGCCTCAGCGTCAGCAGCAGCAGCAACAACAACAACTTAATAAAGCCAACAAGCTGCTGGCGCCAGCGGCTGGCAGCAACTCTCGTAGACTAGAGCAAGTTCGTCGATCGGAGGCGCTGCCGCGTCGTAAATGTTGATGTTGATGTTGATTTTTCATAAAATGTGTTAAATATGCCAAGTGTAGGACGACGCGTGTGGGTTTTTCTACCCCTCTCCCTCTCTCTCTCTCTCTCTGTCTCTCTCTCGGTCTGTCTCTTGCCTGCATGAGCTGAAGCCCTGCACTTGCTGCAGCTACTGCATTGCTCTGCTCAAAGCTAGTTTTTAGACAGCTCTGACATTTCTGTTAGAGCTTCAGAGTCTAGACAACAATTTCTAATTAGTTTCGATATTTTATAGCTAATTAAATAAATATGGCTTGTAGTCAGCGTACAGCAAGAGCTTTTTCGCGCAACCCTCGCTTAGCTGAGTACATTTTTAATTATATTCGCGACTACATACCCTCACCTCAGTACTTTGTATGTGGCACACGTTTTGCGCTTATGTTTTTTCATACTTCATTTGCAGCATGCAATAATTACGGGGCGTACAAATTAATGTGCGGACAAGAAGCTCCAAAAAAGCGATAAGAAGAGAAAAAATAAGTTTTTAAAAAATACCGTAAGGCAGTCCTGCAGGACGGTCAGTAAACCTTTTTTTCGGGTGTATGCGGAAATTGCTTAATTACAAAAAAAAAAAAAAGAAAATAAGAAATTCTGAAAATAAATTGCCAGGCCCTTTTGGCTGAACTTCCACTGCATAAATCAGCAGCAACTAGTTGATGAGGTCTCGCAACAGTTCACTGGAGTCAAGCCTTTGGGAATGTTTTTGAATGACCCAAATAGTGGGTCACCCACGCCCAAGGTCATGCCAAGCTGCATAAACAAGTTTGTTGCCTAAGTCATTCGCTTTTGCTTCTGTCTGTCCAAGCGTTAAAGAGCTAAGTTTAGGGCGTTTGATTTACATGGCAACCGAGCAAATTGAATGAGTCAAAACTCACGCGTTTATAGGTTGATACGCCCATAAAATGCCCACTCGCAGCGCTCGGTGTCGCTCAGCGAAAGTTCAGCTAAAGCTCGAGAGACTTCATGAAACATATGTATAAATGAAAATTTTTTAAAACGCCCACGAATGCTATCGATTTCTGTGTGAGTGTGAGTGTGAGTCTGTGTGTATCTGTGTGGGTGTTGTGGGCGTGCAATGTGCGCCTGACACCAAAACAGTTAAATGTGGAAATACAAGAAATTCAAGTGAATATCAAGCGCAAAAATTACGTCAATCAAAAAGTCAAAGCAACGGGCAGCCAGCAGCCAGCAAATATCAAAGCTGAAGCTAAGAAAAATATTTTCTGCAAAGGCGTCCATACAGCAAAGGCTGAAAGAAATCATATACATGTATATGTATGCACACATATATTGCCAGCGGTTTTTTTCTCTGTTGAGCGGTCCAAGCCAAAAATGGACCATGCAGAGCCTTAGCAGCAGCAGCAGCAGCAGCAACAGCAGCAGCGACGCAGCAGCGCAGCGTGTGGGCAGCAAAGTTGCCTAACAACCAACAACCAACAACTAACAACACCAACAGCAGCACCAGCACCAAGCCGAGCGCGCGAACACGAACACGAAGACTAGTCTCAAGTCTCCACTGGTCGTCAAAGACGACATCGTCAGTGCTTCGGGATCGAGCGCAGCCTCAGTAGCTTCAGCTCGAACCAGAGGCGAATTCGAATTCTGTTTCAGTTCGTTTTTAGCGCGCGTGCGGTGCGGTTCTCTCTCTCTCACACTAATTCATTCACTCCAGTGGCTCTCAACGAATCGATCCAAGTGCTGAACAGCTGAACAGTGTGCGGATCTGTGAGGTCTGCTGTTATAGCCATTCAACAGCATTCATATCCAAAGCAAACAAATTCATTTGTTTTCCTAAAATCTGCACCGTTTAATTACAGTGAAAGTTTTCGTGAGGCGTGCGCAACGAAATCACAAATAAATTTTTTAAATTTTACCCGTGAAAACCGAAGGAAAAACCAAACCCATACGCAGCGCGTCGCGTGCTAATCATCGGCAGCAGCCAAGTGTTAAAAGAAAAGCGATAATATTTCTTAAATATAACAACCAAAATACCAAGTGTCTGTGCACAGCTCAGTGTGTGTCTCTGTGTGTGTGCGCCTATACAGTGCCTGAGTGTGCATCTCTCTCTGTGTGTGTGTGAGAGTGCTTGTGTGTGTATTTAAGCGCTTTTGGCGGCTGTGCCGCAGCCAAAACCAAAGTCTTGAAACAAATTTTTGCTGGCGTTGTGTTTCGTTGGCAGCTGTTGGCAGTATGAACTGATTTTGACCGAAATTTGAGGAAGAAAATGGTGAGCAAATGTTTTTTACTTGTTGCAAGGTGTAAAATTTAAGTGAAGCCAAGAAAATTCTGGCTTTATATTATTTTAAGCTAAGCTAGAGTAAATGCAAAACATCTGTTAAAAAATAAAAAAAATAAAAATACAAAAATAAAAAAAATCTTTAATAGTGAATAATCAATTTAAATTAAGAATCC